AAACAAAAACTTGATCAATTCTTACAATTTTAAATTGAAGAAATAAAATAACGTTTAAATCCACGGTAACACTGTTCCAGTCTACCTGATAAGCTCTGCTTCTGGGCCCTGAACCCATTAGCTTAGCTTCCAATAACATTATTAAGTCAAAGTCATTCACGTTATCCTCCCTCTTTATTTATTTATTTTGACATATGACAGGACTTGACACTACCCTGGCCCCTCCGGTTTATCAATCAACTAATTAAAAGCTTTTTCTTTTCACTTTTTTAATGCAGTTCATAGCAAATGATGTTGTATGTGGTTTGGTCGGTAAAATGGACTCACTAAAACATTCTAAGATTCAATGTTTGAAACTTTGAAATCATTGTTTTCATATGACTCACTAAAACATTAGGAATTGTCATTTTCACAGATAAAATAAAACTGCGATTGTAAAATTGGTGAAAACTGTATTCTTATATGATTAGGCCATAGACTTTGAAGAATTAAGTATTTTAGTGAATTAATTAAGCATGATGGAACAAACAGAGGAATCAGGATCCGATGAATATCAAAATTTAAGGTCGTTTTCCGATAAAACAACTTTTTTCTTTTCAAAAGGAGATAATGTACTTTTCCAGGTATATTTCAGAGTGCAATGGTTGACGGAAGCAACAACAAAACAAGAACAAAGGACACTTCGCCATTTAATTAGTGAGTAATATTAGATTTGGTGACTCGACATTACATGTACAATCTACGATGGTTTGTCTCAGGGGGGAGTCATCAATCAGGCTGATTCAGAAGACAAAGACATCGCTATCTCTAGCAACGACAGACCTGTTTTTCTGGGCCTACAATGTCAAACTTAATTGTAACAATTATTATATAAAACATATGGTTGGCTTTTCTGCCCCTACCCTAACTACCCATCTAGCCTCATTCCAACTGATCACTAAACAACTAATCAATGAAACTGAAACCTAATTTTTAATTATCTAATCATAATACAATTACGCTCTCTCAACAACAACACACAACCTGAACCAACCAACATACATGGCCCTAAAGAACAAGACAACCAACGTAAACTTCAATTCAACAGTGAAAGCTTCAGAGAGAGAGAGAGAGAGAGAGAGAGAGAGAGAGAGAGAGAGAACAGTACTAATGTTACCCGTGAAAGGACATGCATGCATGAATATAATTAAAAAGAACATGCATAAATTAGTTCTTTGCTTCTTTTGCAAAATAAGACCAACTCCTCCTCCTATGTTAAAACAAGCAACGGAGGTTGTTGGATTGTACCTGTACTTCTCCATTAATTTCCATGGCAGCAGAAATTAAAACAACGGGAAACAGCCCACAGATACCAGTGGCACACGTGTATCCAAAGAAGCCACAAATTGACCTGTCATTTAAAACTTTCATGACAAATTAAGAAAAACCATATGGCAATTTTTTGAAAAACCTTGAGCCCTTGACTTTCTCAACCGAAAGATTAGAAATTTGGGGAAAGCCAAGGATACAAAAAAAGAAGTGTAATTAATAGTTTGATAGGAACTAAAATAAAATATTATAGAAAAAAGTACAAACGAACAAATATAACGTGTCGATTGGGGAAGTAGTTGATGGACAAGCTTTGTTTGTGTACACAAGACACGACACGTCTAGAGGCACAGTTTGGATTAGAGAGGAAAAGGTACCACGAAGAAAGTACCACGAAGTGAAATTAAGTGCGGTATAATAATGTTTAATCACATAAATCATACTTAGACGACAAAAGCAAAAGCAAAAGCAAAAGCAGGGTTGTTAAAGTGAAAAAGCACTGGTCAATTCATATGACTTTGTGAGTAACCCTTTTTGTGAAGGTCATATGATCTGTGTGTTTCTTGTTTTTTAGTGAGAGGAAAATGAAAGACAACAGTAATCACGACAATGGGTTAACTGAAATTAAATATTCTACCATTCAAACTAGAAACTTCGCCTGTGTTAACTGTCGAATAATTAAGAGATAATGGACCGACCAACCTAATTCTATTGTTTATAAGGCAGGAAATTGATCCCCCAATGAAAACTGTGACCGGTCGACCAAAACATAAAAACAACAGAGGTTAACTGTTTTTCAGGTACGAGTCATTTCATGGGAAAAAAAGGGCAAAAAGACTCGCTAAAGGGGCCCCCACCCTAACAGAAAGTCGGTGAACCTTCGAATGTCCACCGTCGACGTGGCAGACCGCACCGACGTCGTATACGTGTCGAAACCGCGGGTCCAGAGGCTCAGTCAACTCGGTGGATGGTTGTGATCCAGATCTGTGTGAAACGGTGACCCAGTTTCATACGTATAGTTCGGTGAAGTGGGCCTAGAGGCCCAGTCAACTCGTGGGCCCATGTCGGGACACGTGTGGGTCGAACAATGATTTTCTAGCTGCTTTCGACAATGAACGCAAACTAAAAGTGGCGCGTGAGCATCACGTGCACCGCCTACGGAGCCCACACGAGCTCAAACTTCGGCGAATCGAAGTCACCTTGTCATGTGTCGCGTTAGAAAATAATAAATTCAATTAGGAGGTCAAAAGAAACGAACGACCACCAACCGCTTTCTCGTTTCGCTCGCTGAGTTAAATACCCGTAAAAGCCGAATATTTTTATTTAATAACAAATTAATTTATTAAGCAGAAAAAAAAAATGGGGAAAAGAAAGAAAGTGCAGGAGGCAGGAGGCAAGAGGAGATTGTTCACACGGCAGCAAAAGTACAAACATGTAATAATGAATTTGGTAAGAAATATTTTCATTAAGGGGCACAAAAATAAAAGAGATTGAATACAAATTTGGTGCAATCTAAAATATGTAATGAAATTAAAGTAGTGGAAATAATGTAAGCAAAACAAAAGGGGAACTTACCAGAAAATGGATTGGACGTGGCTGCCTGCCTTGAAGCTTAGTGAAGAAATAAAAAGAGTTGGGAAAGCTGGAGAGAGAGAGAGAGAGAGAGAGAGAGAGGGTTGAAACTTGAAGGACTAATGTGAGAGATTTTGAGAGAGAGAGTGAGAGAGGGAGAGGAGAAGTGAGGGAGGAGGGGGTTTAATTTATAGAGGGAGAGAAGGAAGTGGTTTAATTGTAAGGAGACGTGGATGTTTGCCACATGCCATACATGGATTAACAAGTCTCCCATCGCATTACAACTTTTCTCAAGTTACTCAAACAGAAACAAATTACCTGCATGGACCAAAACCGGCCCAATTTGTTTTTTTATATTGCTATGACTGTCCTTCCATTATATCTTTTTCTTTTCTTTTAGTAAAAAATTACATGTTTGAATTTAGTCAATTGGTCAAGAGTATAACGAGCGCATTCCTTTGCAACCAAGTTTGAATGATCGTTTAATTTAAGGTAATTTAGACGATCGTTTGTATCATAAAAATATGTACTTATTAGCTCATGTTTCTGTTTGGTTCCGAAAACTACCAAGATCAGTAAGTTATTAATGTTAAAATTTTACTCAATAAAGTCCTTTATTTACACATAAATAAAAGAAAAATCACGAGGTAGATTAGAGAGAGAAGGCTTGTTTGTTTATACGCCTATAGAAATGAATAAGGCTAGCTCGCAATGGCATACACACAAATATAAAAAGAAAAATCAATGGTAATCTTTTCTTTTTTTTGGTAAAACTTAACTAATGAATGAAACGTATTCATTGTGTATATATGGAAATGAACATTCCTCTTAATAAAATGTGATAATAAAGTGCCATTGCTCACCATAATTTCTAAAGCGGTGATTATTGTCTTGATTGATTGGTGCATTAATGATTAATGTCACCACCATGACCATGTGGTCTAACTTCTATGTGTGAACTAGCGACTTTCAGAAAGTTCAAGTCATGCTCATGGTGAACCCATCTCCCCTCCTCTCTCTCTCTCTCTCTCACTATTGATCCAGACTCAAACAACTGAGGTGGCAATCAATTGAAAGCAAATGCATGCACATTGACTAATTAATTAATATTTCATGATGCATATATGATTCTTTTTAAAAGAATATATATATATATATATTCATGATAAATATATGTATGTATAATTTAGAAGATTAATTTTGGCATTCACCGTGGTGGCTTGTTCATTGTCGACACCAGAATTAAACAGAGGAAAATGTTAATAAATACTGATATGATCGTACATACATATATAATTACAGAAACAGCCCTATGGGCTATGGGATACCTAGTGTCTCTCACAGTAGTAGACTGACTGACCTAATACTAATAGATTTGATTTGATTTGTAAAGAAACCAGAATGTACTTTGGCAAACTGTTGATCAGTGGCTTGTCTCCTCCTCTCACTCTATCTTGTTCTAGAAGGGAAGAGAATATAAGCGAAGTTCTTTGAATTTGAAACCTGCACATGGTGGAATTTTCGTATGAAACTTCCTTGGACTTTATGTTTCTCAAGTTGCGCGTATTGCATGGCGTTCGAGCCACATGCTGATGAAAATCAACCCACAATTAAATTGGTCCTAATAATATAAAGATTCCCCGTCTCATTCAAACAAACTCCTTCGTGTTGACTCCTTGCATGTTAGTCTCAGTCTCCTTCCTTCCTCACACACCTTGACACAACCACACTCTATTTTTTTTGTTCTCTTGCTTTTGTCCTCTGTTCTAGAAAATTGATAATTTCCCATGAATTCAGCACACCGTGTATTTGAATAGCAGATGAAAGAATATGCGCTGCTGCTGCATTCAGTCAACATCTAGATGGGGTTGGTAGGGGTTTTTCTTTTTCTTTTTCTTTTTCATTTTGTTTAAGAAGCAGAGCAGCATTCGAGGTGACTTCTATTATTGTAGATGGCACAGGTGTCTTTTTCTGCTTGGCAGATCTTTACTTGGCCTCCTGAACAAATAATTTAGCTCAACGCGTATTGGGCTTTTCAAGAGAAACACCTGCTATGCGAATGTGCAACACCAGAAAATGTTTGGGTGTAAGGAAAGATATTTCCACAGAAACAGAGAAAGATGAAATTATCCTCTTTGCCAAATCATAACTAGTGTAGGATCACAAAACTAAACATGTAGTAAATGTTACTCTAGAATGAAATATGTAACTGTTGAACCATCCATCCACATGATGCCAAGGAAGAACCATGAACATTCCCTTCATTTTTCAAAAGCTATATTATAAAACTGATCTTCAGCGAGACCAGTCATGAGTATACAAAAGTTTAACTGTCCTGAGACCCACGAACCTTCTTCACTTTCCACAAAATCCCAAAAAACTCTGGTATCACCTGCTAGACAATTGCTACAAAGCATGTACACTTGCAACAGGCTTAGCAAAAACAAAAAGGGTTAGCAAAACATAATGCACAACCTATCTGGATGATGGGGTATTCCACAATTTACTGGTGGGTTATAGCATTAGTTTCCTTGGCTAACTTGGTATGCACCACTTCCTGAAACATTTCTTTCTCCATCCCTCCATCTACTTCTCTTGCTGAGGCACTTTGAAATATCCCTCCCTTTGTTTTCCCACCATTCTCTGCCATTGGTGCCTCATCAGCTTCTGTTATCACCTGAAGGAGTTCAGACGGGGTAGCTGCTGGATCCAATTCCCAACAACCCTTTGGAGCATTGGGTGCTTCTTCACCTGTAAGCAAATGACTAGGGACCTGATGAGAGAAACGGAACATCTCTTCTTTAGGAATCCACCTCACTTCCTTGGGGTCCATGTGCTTACGGAACACTGTTTTAAAACCAGCAACCTTACATAGAGGAACAACACACACACCGCGTTCCTCAGCAAAATCATCCAGTACTTCCACCATGTCATATTTGTGTATCACTGCATCAGGGGTGTGCTGATTCCAATCCGGCGACCAATTTGTATATAGTGCCCAAACTTCACTCCTCGTAGGAAATATGCGAATCACTCCTCGTGTGCTTTTTGTCCAACTAACCTTGTTTGAGAAAGAATTTAAAGTGTCATAAATTTCATGTCTGCCAGCCCTGAAATCCCCGCAGGTTTTAGTAAAACCAGAACCCACCCAGTCCATCGGACCCAATTCACTGTTGCTTCTTGAGTTGAGCCAACTAATCCGCATCTTAAATGGCTTCAAGGAAATCACCTTGTGAATCCGAGCATAATAACGAGGCATCCCATCATCATCATATGCAGCCCAGACTTGGTCATCTCCAAAGGACCTTTCAGTTCGATCCAAGTCAAAATTATGAAAATCAGGATCTGGCACTTTGATTGACACTGGTGGCGTGGCCTCTTCACCAGTACCACTCTTGTTTGCTGTGTCAACATTTACCACAGTCTTCTGTTTCTTATTTACTTTCACCTTCTCTGCTTTAGTTGCTGAGCTCTGCCTGTTGAGCATCTTGCAAATTTCAGTTCGTGCCTTCCAAATCAGAATTTTTTTCATTTCAGGATATGGCAACTCTCTTGCGACATTAGGCCTATCGTATGTACTAGATAAACCATAAATTCTTTTTGTTCCAACATTACCTGTACTTAATTCAGATACACCTCCCAAGTCAGCACCATCACTTCCCTTGGACATTTGATTAGCCATGCCTCCTTGATATCCATTCAAATGTTTATCATCCGTTCTTTTCTTTTTCAAAGAAGGATTTCCCATCAAATTTTTACTCCTCTCCCATTCAGCGATTGATTGTCTCCGCTCTCGGTCTCTCTTCATTTTCTCACTAGCCTGTTGGGCCGCAGTCACAGCTGGAGCAGCAGCTTGACCTGATGCAACCGGGCTACCAACACCATTCATTTTGGAGAAAAAGCCCTGTTTGAAGTTTGTCTTATTGAACGAATTAGGACCTAAAGAATTCCCCGCTCCCAAATTTTGAGGTACAGTGCAGTTTCTTCCAGAACTGAATGAGTTACCACCAGCTGCATGGTGTCTTGAATTCTGATGCTGCTGGGAAGAAGAGGTACTGGATGACTTAAAGACACTCGGAGGTGGAGCTTGTTCTATAGCCATGAAAGTCTTCTGACAATTAGGGCAGACTAGAATGTGATTTAGATAAATCCTGAGATACTGATAATGTGTTTGGCACCGATTGCAAAAAGTCCAAAAAGTAGCGGTGTTTCCATATGAAGGTGACAGGGTAGGACCACGCTGCGCCCTAGCATTTGAGGCGGCACTATTCATAACATTTTGACAGGTATTTGCACTGGGTTGCACTGAAGGACCCCTATTACGGGATAGAACTTCATGTTGAAAACCTCTCTTGTGGTTATATGCTAGTCTCTTAGACTCGTCTGATAAAAAACTCCACGCCTCTGAAACCAACTTAAATGCGCCTTCTGCACCAAGAGACTTGTTTTTATCAGGATGAAGCATGAGAGCCAATTTCCTATACTGTTTCCTAATCATCTCATAATCCGCAAAAGGAGTAACACTAAGTATTCCATACCAATCCACTTCCCCATTAATTTTATTCTCTGCAGCGACGTAAACATCCAGTATTGTCAACATTTGGGAGAGACCCTCAAGCTCAGGATATAAATTTTGAGCCTTCAAGGCAAACTTCTTGGAAATAGCATAATTTTTTTCTATAAACTTCCTCTCAGCAAGTGCCTTAGCCCTGACTGCATCATCTTTATTGCACTCCATATTTTCCTTACGTAAGAGTCTCAGTTCTTCCTTACTTGACTGGAATAGTAAGCATACTACGAGAAAGTGGTCATGCCTACAGATGTTAAGTACCTGATCCAAAGAGAAAACAAATAGATCTCCTCAAATTCTGTAACTAGATCAATAACAAAACATTGCCCAAGACAATTAAAAACCAGAAATTCATATAATAATAAAAAGCATCATTTGAACCCTGAGTTTTTGAACCCTCCCCCGGCAACACAGAACAAAAGTATGTCACTTTTATAGGCAGAAACAGATGATGGGCCAAATTAGCTTCAAAACTACCAGAGATTCTTAAGCTGATGGAAACAGAACAGCAAATTATAAGATTGTGGAGCTCAATTCTCCTCCAAAATCCCTCCCTTTCCACTTGAGCCACACACTTCCCCTTGTAACGGAACAAAAGGTTCCACTTCATTACAAAGGATAAACATGCGTTTTCATCAAGACACTTAGACCTACAACAGTAGTACTTCCTAACACAACATTTCCCCCACACTTCTCAACAGATCTAATCTAAGCAACTTGTGTACTGCTTGAAGTTCAAGCCATAAGACATTATTAAAACATCCTTCTAAAGCTTGAAACCTTATTACCAGATAATTTATGCCGTGATACTGTGATAAATACAATGACAAACAGGGAAAAAGACAATAAATACATTAACTAGCTTCAACGAGTGCACATTTCTTATAGTAATATATTATGAAGGCATATCTCACAGAGAGACATGGCCACAAAATGCAACGAATTAGAAGCCCATCATTTTATAATAAACCCTTCAACATAATCCCAAAACCACAAGAAGGCGAAAGGCCCAAGAGAATAATTATAAGAACTTATCAACTGGGTAGACTCGAAGTTTTTAATTTTATAACAAGAAGTTTGCTGTGGCTTCACAGAAGTAGAGGTTTTACCGGTCAAGTTTCGGTACCAACAACCGTCTGAACTTCTGAACTTTTTTTTGGGTCGGAAAGTTCTGAAATTCAGTACTTCAAAATACAAACCCTATCTCTGTGGCATTTTACGAAATTGAACACACACAAAAACCAGAAAAGCAAGCGACTTTCTAAGCAAAACTGAATTAAAGAGAAATAGTGATTACCCGCACCGCATACAACAAAGAGAAGTCTGACTTGAATTTGAATCTGAGAGGACCGTCACCAGGTACACTGGCCTATTAGGCAAAGGCCCCTAAAGGGACATGAGAAAATTCTTAATTGCTCGACTTAAAAATTGAAAATTAGGGAAAAAGTAAGAATGGGTTTGGTGCCTCTAGTATTGTTTGTATATATATGGGTCTGATTTCAACCCAAAAAAATTAACTAGGGTTAAATTTTAACTTGAGATTAGGTTTACCCTCTAATATCTTAGTTGGACTGCGTATGCTATGTAAGGAAATTAAAAATAACAAATTAAGAGAGATTCCGAATTTAATTCACTCTTTCGTAGATCTATAAAATAAAATAAAAATATAACATATGTGTTGGATAATTTGATTGTTTTGAGAGAATCTCGATGGTACAAGAGAACTTTTATTAATATCCAAAAAGAAACGGGGGAGACTTAGCGCCATACCTATATTACAAACATAAAAAACAAGACAATCTTGAATTTTACGTAGTTGATTGAACTAATAAAATATGTGACTACCATGTCATCCTTATTCTAAAGTTTGTAACATTTTCAAATGCAAAGAGGGTACACATAGTATTTTATAGGGAGTTTCACTAAAACACCCAAAATAGGAGCTGAAATTATAAAAAAACCCAACACCCAAAACACTTTATAAACACACCCAAAACCTATCATTACACACACTCAAAACCCATTTATAAACACACCCAAAAAATATACAATTGTTGACTTTGGGGTTGATTTTGGGTGTGTTTCTATGTTTAAATAGTGTTTGGGTTTTTTTATAAATACATGTCTAGGATTGGGTTTATTTATAAATTTGTATATTTTATATGTAATAGTAGGGCAAAACAAATTATCTTTTCTAATATGCTTTATTATTATTTATAGTAAAATTTCAAGGCAATTCATATGAGTGTAAAAGTCACATGTACCTATATATGTATGATATGAAGAGTGAAAATATTGAATTTTAAATATTGACAAAAATAATGTGTTAAAACTTATATATTCATAAAATATTGATGTTGAGAACTTGATATATATATATATATATATATATTATTATTAGTATTAACTTTTTTTTTCTTTTTTTTTAAAGAACTTGATATGTATATATTATAAGGGCATCACAGAAGTGGAATAAGAATTGTAACAAAAAAATCAACATCCCCAGCCACAAGCAGTGTACAACATTCAACAGCACAGGGTACACCCAGCTTATAGAAGTATTTCACCCCTATAAAAATACAAAAACTACAAATACCTGAGACTGAGCGATAACTACAATTTCACTCTTTTTCCCACTTGGTTTTAAATTTCTTCTGCTAAGCTTCATTAAACCCTCGCTTCTTGTTAGCTCCGGAAACCCTAGCAGTCCTTCAAAGCCTTTCGTTCTATGGTAATTCAAAAACGTTCTCTTTCTCCCCCACCCCCCTACTTTTAAGTGTTTTCTTTGTTCTTACTCTGTTTGTTACTGCTTCAAGATACTTCCTTTGAGGTATCTTTTCAAAATTCTTAATGATATCTTGGTGTCATGTTTGGTTGCTAAGAAATGATGTAAAGAAAGGAAGAAAATTAGCTTCAAGATTGGCTTTGGGTGCAAGATGTTATTTTTTATTTTTTATTTCTTTTCCGTGGGGGGTTTTCTTGGTAACGAAAGAAAGGGTCAAGGCGAAGTGATCACTGGGTGTTGGTTTCTGAGGTTTATGTTCTATTTAGGTGCCAAGAATAAATGGGAAAAAGAGAAGGAATTGTAAGTTTTATATTCGCCTAATGCAGTTGGTTGATTTTTCTTGTTCTTTTTAGTTATTCAGCAACCGAAAAACAAAATAGTTCTTTTAGATAATGGATGAGTGGAACTGGTGAAATTATGCTCTTTTCTTGTGTGACATACTAGGCTTAGTTGAAAAAGTGTGTTTGAAAATTATTTTGGCTTCTAAACGCTTGAACAACATGCTATTCCTGTTGCTTCATCCTCATTTGTACTCATTTTCTGATATTTCAGATCATCATTCGTTTATATTGGACTCTCTGAATTAGCCATCCAAGAAAGCTGAAGGGAAGATCTCTAATCAAACAAAAGGGCACAGTTCACATGCGTTGAAGTGAAATGAAGATGGTTCAGGTTTTAGCATAATTTACTTACCTTTGCAATCTGTGAGTCATAGTAAACTTTGTTAATGCGGTAGACAATGATAGCACCTGAGTTTCTTTATGGTACCACGGCCACCAGGATGAGTAGGACATGCTATTATTCTTTACAAGGATCCTTAAGTTACTCACATTGAAAAAAGTTGGGAGAAGTTGTGGTTTCTTTTTTCATGTTGACAAGCCAATGCAGAGCTCTTGGTTGTTTGTTTTCACAAGTGATTTCTATTTTGGCCTACGTATCAAAAGAAGGGGGAAAATTTAGCCATGACATTTGCCATATGACTGATTTGTTTACCCCCTCCTTCTAGCTATCGTCATGAGTTGAATGCAATACATCTATTTCATAAGTCTTGTTTGCTTTTTTGGGCTTTATATCACTAATTGAAAGGAATTTCACAGGATCCACAGAAGTCAACAGAAAAGCAGTTCTCAAAGAAAATATCAAATGACCCCCAGAGTGACCAACAGAATAGCATCACTGAGGTTCCAAGCAACAAGAGCAGAAAAATCACACGTGGAGATATTGAAGTTGTAAGACATTTTCTAACTTATATCTGTTTGAGCTTGAGTATGATTTGTTCAAAGGATGAAACTTAATTACATTATTTTGCTTTGGTACAATAATGAATGTTGTAGGTCCAGAATTTGATTGAGAGGTGTTTGCAGTTGTATATGAACAGAAATGAAGTCATCAATACCCTCTTAGATCGTGCTAGGATTGAGCCTGGCTTCACAAGCTTGGGTATGCCACTATATTATTCCACATAATTTCCTTTGTTTTTTTTTTACTCTGGATACATGGGAATAAAGCCTACCTCTGACCTCTGCCTTTTCTTTTACATCTTCATAATTTTTCATTGTTCCATATGCATCATAAGTATCATTAGTCAATGGTGCCAAGAAGAGTTTGACTTTGTAGTTATATTGCTGCTAGTTCAAAATCTTTGATGTTCCTTAGGTTAATCCATAAACTTGGTTTCAAAGCTAATCACGTTAGTTGATATTCATCAGATTTGAATTGTCTTTACAATAATAACAGTGACATTATAATTTGATTTTGGATTTAGAACTTCTCATTTCTTCTCTTCATGGAATGGAGGCCATTCACTCATTTGACCTGAAACTCGTAGGTATTTAGTTTGAACAGCTAAATTTGATTGAGAAGCCATTTAACTGTTATCCCTACTGCATTATTCATTTGTGTTCTTGCGAACGTATCATTTTAGCTATCTGGGGTCATTTTTGGTAGTTTTCCTGTAATTTCTTTTTTCCAATTCATTCCACTTAATAGATGGCATGTTGTTCACCATTCTGCTAATTATAAGGAAAATACTGCATCCTACCAAGCGACCAAAGGTTGGTAGGAAAAATCACATATGTTGTTTTGGTCAATGAAACCAGAAATTAGAGCACATTTTATTATCATGATCTTTTTTCAACTGCTCTAATGGGCCTCTTTTTTGTTTTTTTGATAACTTAGTACTGCAGAAATTGGAAGAAGAAAATGCAGAATTTTTCAAGGCCTACTACATAAGGCTAAAGCTGAAAAATCAAATTGTTCTTTATAACCGTTTGCTAGAGCAACAATACCATCTGATGAAAGACCAAGTCCCTCCAGAGGTTCCATTGCCTCCTATGCAAAATGGAATGCATTACATGCCTGGTATTTCCTTCTTATAGAACTTCCTGATTGTTCCAGGGACACTCTAGCATTCTAAATTCTTATTGAAGAAAAGAGGCTGCATGCCGTTTTCTTTTCTTTCAATACCAATGATCAGTTTTTGAGTTCCAACTTTGTTAAAAAAAGAAAATTACAACTTCAAATCAGAAAAATAATTGAGGGGAATTTGCTCTTAATTTGGTTACACCTCATTTGGTTGATTTGTTGAGTACATGATAGGTTAATCTCCGTATGTTTTCTTGTTTTTATGAGTTCTCATCTATGGGAAAGAAAAACGCATAAAAGGATGTAGATGTTTTCAATTAGACTGCTTTTAACTACAGTTGATTTGAAGTACTTCATAACTGATGATTATGAAGTGTTTTTTTTCTGGTCTGTATCTTCTTGTATTCAAAATCCTTCTCAGTTTTGTTGTTGATTTCTTTGAATATTGGTGGCTATTTCTAATTGAATAATATGCCGTAAATATCATTGTAAAGCAATGCCTTATTTCTCTTTTGTTTATATTTAGCGCAGTTCACAGTTCATCTATGGGGTACCCCATCATGCAGCAGCCTCCAATTCCATCTAACCGTCATCGCCAAATTAGTAACATGGGCACTACATCTAGTTGTCATGTGGTAAATGGAATCCTTGCTCAAGGACATTTCCACCATATGCCACTAAATTGTGGTAACGAGTGAGGCTTCTATCTCATATCCACTTTTTTCATTACTTTCCATATGGTTTATCTTGTATGGTGATAGCTACATTTTTCCTAATGAAATCGCATTCAAAATCTTATTCTGCTAATTTTCTTGCTAATGTTCAACATTTGCATGTTGTGTTGCATTCATTTAAACTTCAATGAAGGATTTTCATGCACAGTCCCCTTCCTTCATTTATGATGTGTTCTTTATATAGCCTTATTGTTTGGCTCCTTGTTGACTGATGTGGACAGAAGCCTAGCTGATGCACCATCTATCATCCCTGCCAGTGGTATCAAGACAGAGATGCTTTCAAGTCCTGTATCAGTGGCATCCAATGGACAATTTCCTTTCACTCCATCAGAAATATCAGGGCTAGGTGTGGACACATCAGCGCTTGACTCTGCATTTACTTCTCATTTAGCAAATTTAGAAAGGTTGGGTATTGGACCAGATGGTGGGACCAGATGGCCTAAGGAGACCCTTCGATCATCGGGGCAGTCTACTTGGAATTTTGGCCTCTTTGATTCTACCGCCGAATGGCCAAACTTGCAAGGTAAGATGCAGTTTTTATTGATTCACAATCCTATTTTGAAGACATGGGAAGTGGTCCATTATATCCAGGCAGAGTTTTATTGCATAAATTTTCAGTATTTGACTGTTACTGAAGTTGTCATGCTCTTGTTATTTTTCATTTATTTATTGTTTGCATGAACAGATCTTGGAGCACTGGGTAACTATTCGGGTTCACCCTTTCTGCCTCCTGAGTCGGATGTTCTTGATTCACCAGAGCAAAATGACATGGGTAAAATTGAATTAGATGGTTCCTTCCATATTATATTATGTGTTAAGACAGCTAAAACTAATAAGTATTGCACATTATTGTGGCAGTTGAGGAGTTCTTTGCCGACGCTGGCTCAGGTCAAGGCTCTCAATCAGAGTAGACTTCTTCTGCGCCAAGGTGAGAGAGGTCTTGTGGAAGTATTTGGAGGACCTCTCTGGTGTTTAGGATCAGATAGCTCTATCAACCTCGAAGTCCTGACTCTCAATGAATATGTGGTACTCTTTGAGCAATATAACATCTGATTTCCATGTAAATTTTGAATCTCGAGTTGTTCCAGCAAAGAAAATAGAAACAAAATTGATGTTAATTTTGATGTTAATTGATAGCTATAATTTTCCAAGCATAAGCAAATGAGGGTGCCGTTCAAATTTTGTGATCTTTTCAAAAACTCACTATAACTTTGCGAGAAGAGAGAGTTCATAGAAACAACCTACAAATACCTTGGGGCCAAATCGTTATGCGTATTAGATTTATTAAATTTATTAAACTCGGATACCCAAACTGAATACCTTAGCAGATAGGGCATCATACAATACAGACATGGAAGGAGAAGGTTCGGAATGAAACCCATCCCATTACAAGAGCAATTAGGAAACAAAACCGATGAATAAACAAATTGCTTTCATTTCTATAAAGCACTCAGCCACTTGCATGTGCAAGTTTAAAAATCGATTACTTAAAAAATGTTGATAAATCCACACATGCAATATAAAGTTTCTAAACACGGTGTTCACTGGCTGGCTCTGCTTTGTCGTGGTGGAACTTCACCACAACGCATGTTATATTGTCTGCACTACCGCGGCAAAATGCAACCGCCGTTAACTTTCGAGCTGCTGCCTCAGGTTGTTCTTCTGTTTGGGCCACTTCAACAGCAACCTGACACAAGGCATAAATAGATAAGCAGGGTGCTGGGGTTTATTTAACCAGAAACTCAAAAATTAGTCGCAAATGGAATGAGATCTTATCATTGCAACAGGCAATTGGCAAGACACCTGTTTATGTACAAAAACAGAACTCGCTCATGTCAGAGTCTGAGCATGACCGGGATGGTGCATGCCCTTGAGTGGGTCTATGTACGTGTCAAAATTGACGGTTAGGGTGGGGTAGGTTTACCTCATTTGGTACCACGTCCCATAACCCATCACTAGCAAGCACGATAAATTCAAATTCTTCATCCACCTCTTGGTCCTGAAAAGAAAAGAGAAAAACTAATGAAAACTTATTTTCTTTAGCTTCCAATCTATGGATTACGCACATCCATCATATATAGAGAATACATATATGATTAACCAATATAATCCTCGTTACACATACAATCAAGACAATACTCCTCAGATACAACATACTAACAAATTACTGTTCACCACATTCGCTACTTGGCTCCTATACCATGACTACAAAGATAAGAGGAAAAGACTGATTCACCAAATGGATAGATCAAATACTCGGTAATTAAGCCAGGATCACACAAGAATATCAATGGTCACCTGGATCTCAGGTTCTGCAACAACAAATTGTTTCAACATGCGGTTCCCAAAAGCCCGAGACATAGCCAGCACACCCCCTACCCTCCAAGTGCCTGAGAACATAACACAAAAATAGGTGAACTAAATTTATGGAATTGCGGTCAAAGAATGAAAAATGCAGGTCTACAACTGTGTTTGGATGGACTGAAACCATGCAGTAATTTTGAAGTTCATAACATCAAATTATGAATGTGCACCGCATGAGCACACCAGAAGTGAGACCTGAGTAAGACATTATCTGTTTCTATAAATTCATCATGACAGCCAACATATAGAAAATGTAGTTTCCATGCTTCAATTAGAGAGTCTTACCTGCCCACATTACAACACCCCCGGCACTTTCAATTCTTTTCCTCTCATCACTTCGATTTGGTTTGTGATCCTCAGATAAAGGAATTGCTGCCAAAAACGGGGGAAAAAGTCCTAATTTAAAAATCCAGCATATCAAAGTATTTAAATTCTTAACATTCTATATACAACATTTTCAGCATATTAAAGTTGGAAAAAGATGTCCAATATACTTCATGACGACTTCAGTTAAGTACTATCAAAATTTTAACCACTTTTAAATTACTCCTAATGCAATTATTACCTCTTCCTGCCTTTGATATTATTGTACGTGAATCTCCAACATTGGCAACATATAGATGGTTACCAACCAAGACTGCTGTTGAAGCAGTAGAACCATCATCACGGTATGTATCTCTTTCAGAAGCCAAGAAATCTGCATCCGTCCGTTGATACGATTCACCTGCAAGCTCACCCAAGTTACCCAACAGAACCAAACAACCAAACAGACCCATGTCACAAGGTGAAAAAGTGTTTGATGCAGGATCCCACACCTTGATGAAATGTAGGTGTAAAACATTATTTTCACCCGTATGGGATCCTGCATCAGAAAGGGGATATGCTACAATCGTATAGCCCTAATTCTTCATTATAAGTGCTGCACAAATTCGAGGCATCAAAGAACTTGGACGCACTAATAGCTAACTTAGTGTCTGTAATAAATTGTGGATGCTTCATGAGATTCTCAAATAGATGCTCCTTCAAATATTCAGCAGCACGAGAACCACCATGACCTGTAAAGACACACACAATAATTAGAAAATCTTGAATCATACTCATAGGCAAAGTACTTTCTGCTTCAGCCAACAGGCAAATCCTTATATTTGATTGAAGTGTCAGGACAAGTAGATCCTAGGAATAAGGTCGAACTTGTTTGCAAAGTTCATAACCCTCAGAAATACGCAAGTAATATCAACCTACTCCATGATTGAAATAATAAAAAGCTTTTATTATTTCATTTCCTAGGACAATTACCATGCGTGGCATCTAAAGTAGCAACCATTATCAGATTCGCTCACCTTTTGCCACTGCAATTTCCCAAGGTGTCAGCCACTAAATGGTTGCAACTATGTTATAAAAAATAAAATATAAAACCAAAGTTCATTCCACGTGTCCACACTCTGGATGCCATTTCACACACCTTCTAAGTAATGACATGGAGCATTATACTAAAGTAATCAGAAATTTTCCCTTTCTCTAAGATAAAGATGATAAGGAGAATCTAACCATCGAATATTCCAAACAGGCAAACTGTTTGCCCATCGATTTTGGACATTTTAATGTCATAAAAATCCTCCATGGTTGCTCTTTTTCCCCTGAAACTTGAATAGCCGCAACTCAGTTTTCCGCCTTCACTGTGAATGAGACAAAAAGGAACATGAAGTTAATCCAAATCGTATTTCTTTCACAGCTACTACTAGTTAGATCATTCAGTATCAAAATGCTTCTACTTATTGTTCAATAAGAATATTGATTTTGCCCATATATTTCACCTAATAGAACAGGAACAAATAAGGAGAATCCATATAAACCTTTTCAAACCCCCGCTGGTATATTCACCATCTTCATTTTTGTCTGGCAGCACATCAAGAATGGAGCCCCGTTTTTCCATCTCACCTGCATCAACCATCATCCTTACACTCGTCCTAAATGCTCGGTTCCACGGATTGGCACACTTGCGAACTCTCTCAAAATTGTTCAAATGCACCCTTGCTTTTGTGAACGTTACTATATGGCCAGCTTGAGCAATCACACTCCTTATGCAAATTTTGCATATCATCTAAATAGACCCGTCTGGCTTTCGGTGCCAAATCTTCTGTAAATAATGCCCAGCAAAAAAAATGAAAATCACTCAAAGATACCAATGTAACTCAAAATGATCCCTTTTCTTTGCAAATTGTCCACACACAAAAATAACTTCTTAAAAATAAAATTCCAGTAAATTGAGTCTGCTACAAGTATATAACCACCTAAGCATCATTGAGCTAAAGTTTATCTAAGACGCAATCAACAAAATGATGAAACATGCAAACACATTTCCTGTTTCTATTACTTTCCTCAGCTTTTCACAAAATCAAACAGGAAAAATTGATAAGTTTACAGGCAGCAAAACACATACGCATCCACGGAGACAAAGAAAACCAGATCAAGAGCTAAATCAGATCAAATTTTGCGATTAAATTAACGAAAAATACTTGAATTTGATAACAAAATTGTCGCTGGAAATCTTCGTGTTTGAGCCCCGAAAAGAGTCGGATCGGATCGGATAGAATATACCGGGCTCAAACGAAACGGTTCGGGTTGAAGCAAGTGGAGGATCCGAATCTAATAGCGTAATCCAATCAGCGCCATACGTACATACATATAGGTACAAGATACACTTTTCGCACTCCAAAACCTGATAGCATCTGAAACCCTAGAGATAGAGAGACTGAGTAAGATTCAGGAGGTGGATAAATACAGTGAGACACTAAGCGAAGGTTGAGAGAGAGAGAGAGAGAGAGACCTTGCCACCGAAGAGAGATGGCAACGTGGCGCTTTTCATCCATCCACTTTAGCAATTATACGGTGAACCCGCGTTCACAATACTTTTTTAGACCGCTAATGGTAGATGCCGCGTGTTCCTCATCTCTGCGTTTAAAAGGGTAGGCCATTCGAGGTTGGGGTCGTTTTGGTAATCTTACTGTACATACGATTTTTCTTAATTTGATGTGTCTGCCTCAAATTTGGGTAAGAGCTGGGCTCTCTAAACTACCTTCTTATATAAATTTTGGGGAGAAATTGGAAAAATACAACTCCAATCATGCTTACTATTCACCTAAACTATGAATATTTTAATCTTTTAATTAATGATAGTTATTTTTTATATTATTTCTTAATATAGATAAACTAATTAAAAAAGAGTTATATCATTTATGACTTTATGGCCTAAACTAAAGAGTATGATAGGAGTTAAAATTTTATAAAGAGCTCCTAAAATAGCTTTTATATATTTTTCACTAAATTTTAACTAAAAAATAAAGAGCATAGTTATAAATAGTCTTATATCTTAATTTACTTGAAAATCATGTGTTGATTATGGATGGATCACATGTCAGAATGTGAGATAAAGTGCATTCACAACCTAAACATTAAGTGTTTTTGCTAAACGTGGCAATGGCATCAGATTGAGACGTATCAAATGTTCGAAGAAAAAAATTGCTTTCTCCAACCAAAAACAAGTCACAACCCACACATAATTTCCATCTAATCATTGATTTTATAGGAAAATAAAATCCTATTCATATATGCCAGGCTAGGGATTCCGAGCTTTTGTATTTAAAGTCCACATATTTCTCCGCATTTCGCTTCATCTGAGCCCTTATAATAATCTAACGACTTAAAATATAACAACATCAAACTTAACATATAAATTTTAGTTTTGTTAATATTTTTTTTTTCTTTCTAAACTTATACGAGCCCCCGTCATCTATCTCTCCCACACACACTCTCCCCTTCCTCTCCTCCTTCTCTTTGACTATAAAACTCAAGTATAAATTCAAGTATCATTACAGTTAAATTATAACTTGTGCATTTGTTTGTGTTTAAATAAAGAGCTTTTATCTCAAATGGTCCTTGAAGTTTGTGAAATTATCAACTTTGGTCTTTTATGTTTTTTTTTTGTTTGGGCACTATTGGTCTTTTATGTTACACATCACACATTAATTTGGTCATACCGTTCAGGTTTTGTCAAAATTTCTGTTAAATTGATGATATGGCACGTATGTAGTGCCCATGTATCCAATGAGATAATGCCACGTGGGTCTAAATAAAAAATTACTTTGAAAAAATGGTTTTAACATTTAAAATCTACACAACTTAGAAAACTAAAATAAAGAAAAGAAAAAAGAAAAATTGCCACTCTCCCCCCTCCCCGTCTGATCTCTTTCTCCTCTCCAATTAAAATCACAAACTTTTGGGGGGGGGGGGGGAGAAAAAGGCGATAGTATTTTTATGATACAAGAACAAACAACAAGTATAAAAACTGAGTCGTCGAGTATTAAATGAGTTTCTCTACACATTCAGGCTCAATTGTCGGTGTAACTAGGTAAGCTTACCGGCTCAACCACAAGGAGGAGTAGGAACCTTGCCACTAGTAGGAACCTTGCCACTGATGGAATCCATTCGTCCCCTTAAGATCGTGTTCGTAAAAACTACTGGTTAAAATCTTCAAATAAAACATCAACAAGAAAATCTGATGGTTCCTCGAACCAACTAATAGTAGCCCTAGTTATCACACCCCTTGTTTTAAGATAAGTTATCATGATATGGTTTATTTTATCGAAAAAAATTGTTTACTTTCATTTATTTCCTAACTGTGTATAACTGTCATTACCTTAGTTAAAGCTGTTAATTAATTACTTGCATAGATGGTAAACTCGAAACAAATTTTAGACTCGTTTGGCATATTTTCGTACGCTAGCCAAACAAGAAAGAAATCTCTAAACGAAAACTTGAGCCAACCTAACAAAAAAATCAATGAATGGATGGCGGCTTCTCATAAGTGGGAAAATGCTATTCCTATGAGGACTATTTTTGGCCCAAATGTTCCAAACAGGGAAACTGGCGCTCCTCAGCCAACCAACGGAACTTACCCTAACGATACGTCACCTCTTCAAAAATTTCATTTCATATTCCTTATCAATAATCTTTAATTGAATTCAATTTCCTCCTAATATGTCACATTCACTGTTGTTTTACGACAATGTAATTATGTTTTTTACTTTTTACCTCTGTGGTTTCGGAAAAATATATGAGGCTGGTACTTTTGAGATGAATCCCGGGTGGAGTCGTTGTGGTGTTGTTGACTGTTGACTTTAAAAAAAAAATGTATGACGCTCATTCACATCACAGTACCACTCACGGTCACGGGCGTCAAAAATAATACCGTCCGGTATTTCCAATTCCAATCAAATTGCCACCAGCTCACAATCTTCCATACCTGTCCATTTACTATCTGAAATAGTTATTTTATCAGAAATTCATATAAAAATACAGAAAAATACTATCTATCTATCAATCTATTAATCAAAATTTGTATATATATTTTTTATTTACAACAAATGCATCATGATGCTTTCCTATTAGTGTTATGAAATAGGAAGCATACACATCCTTCTTAGACTTCATTACATGTATACATATCTTATTTTTTATTTTTTTCGTTTTCGATGACGGATTCTTTTTTTTTTTTTTCTTTTTTTTTTTCCCGTACATTTTGTGAGTTATTGTTTGTGGCTCTCTCTCTTGGACAAATTGTCGATAATTCCAACTAAAAACAATGATTATTATAATTTATTTTTAATAACATCATCACGCCATACTTTTAAAATACCACAACCTTAGCAAGTGGGTTCTAAAATAATTTTACATCTGTGATAATTGCTCTAAAGAAAACAATTTTGGGTTCAAAAAGACAAAAGCTGACTGAGCACAGCAGATAATTCAGGTGGGATTTCTTCTCCAATTTCGAAAAAAGGGTAATTCTGATTTCTTTAAAAAGGTATATTAAAAATAAAAATAAAAAACTGCTATATCCCCGGGAAGTGCGCGGGCACAGGTTGAAGTCCACTTTTTTCACACACCGGCCAGCGTACGCACCGGACCGAAAAGTAACCGCAGAGAGCGAAACGTATAAAATGGTATTCTTTTTTAAATTGTTTTCATCAGCACAGAGTGGGCCCCAGAACAGAAGACTTTGTTTGCCTAAATCAGAATCGTCGATCGTCGATCGTCGATCGTCGTTCGTTGGACTATCCTTCCTCTCTGTCTGAGTGTGTCTGTCTTAAAACTTGCCCTTGACATTTCCGCGAACCTTCTTCCTCTCTCTCTCTTTCTCTCACTGATTGAATTTCAAGCACAAAAAGCTATCTGGGTTTTTGATAGATAATCAAAGGGGGGACTTTCAGTTTTCCACCATGGACAACCTGTTCGTTTAATCACTCAGACTTCGTTGTTTGGTAGGTTATGTTCCTTCATCCTTTTTTCTTTTTGTTGGGTTTTCTCCTATTTTCAATATCTTAATTATTTTTTGGTTTTTTATACAAATAATTATTTTTTGGTTTCAGTGACATAGTTTTTCCCCCAATATTGGTTCTTTTTTTGTCTGTTGGAATGTTTGTTCTTTTGAATTTAAGTTCGTGACCTTTGGTGGACGAAGATACGATTGAACTTCCAAGTCTTTCGAGAGTTTAGGATATAAATATCTTTGCTTTCTCCCCAATCCCAACTCATGTTTGTTGTAATGATTTTATTTTTGTTTTAAAATTTGAAATGTAAGAGGTCCTGTTGGTCCATTTGACAATATTGTTAAGCGGGAAATTATTCTGTAGTTTCCTCTCTGATGAAGATTATAAATTTGTTTTTTGTGTTCTTGCATATTTATGTAGTTTTGTATGTGTTATGTGTGTTAACAATGAATTTGTGAATGTTGTATGGATGAATGCCTGCTGTTTTGATGGGATCTTCCTTAAATGAAAATATTTTGGTACAGATTAAGTTTTGGTGCGACGTCTGCCTTTTGAATTGTGGCAAATGGCACTTTGAGACTTGACTGTTCGACCCGAAAAGTTCCCCCTTTCGTTAGTAATTTTAGGACTCATTTTGTTTTTTCTTTTCCTTTTCCCCCGGTCTGTGAAATTATAATCCTTATTTCTTTGTCCCCCAAAATGGAGGCTTTGATTTATTTGACAAAAAATGAAAGCTTCTATTTTCAGTTCAGTTTATTTTGCTCATGATTTTTTTTTTCTTTTTCATGAACTACTCTGAATATTTCTTTAGGGGGACGGACTTTGGGAACTTCGTGGTGCATAAAGAAGTTCTTTGGGTTCTCCAAACGTTCAGAGGTTGAACTTCCATTTGGAGATTTTATCGAAAGCGGGTTATAGTCATGAATTTTCATCAAGAGAAGTTCGTCAGGTTAGTTCAACAATAGTCCTAACCTTATGTGATATCATGTTCACTGTTTTGCATCCATATAACTTTTACGCTTCCAGAACCAAAAAAGTTAGAATTTTAGATGCTTCTTTGCCTGCTATGCTTACTCTGAAAGTACTTACCACGTTTGACAAAGAAGAAAAAGAAAAAAAGTAGTATTTACCACAAGTTTTACACCATTATGTTTTTTGGACTTGTGTTTAACTTTTGCGTGTGATGTTAGATACTTGGAAATCTTCTGACGGGTTAACTAAATTGGATGCGTTTATTTATATATTTTTGAAATTCAGGTTTCAGGATTGGACCTCAGAGAAAAAGGTTGAGCCACTATATTCTCCAGATGATGAAATACATCCAGGAAAATTCAGAAGGACAATCCACTCGGTGTCAATGAAATTCCAAAGAGGGTTGGAATCTGGTTCTGAGAGGATTAAGAAGTCATGGAAATCCTATTCATTTGACGGAGTTGTTGCTAAAAGCTTTGGTTCTAGAATTCTTGATCCACAAGGGCCTTTCCTTCAAAAGTGGAATAAGATATTTGTATTGGCATGTCTTATTGCCGTCTCCCTTGATCCCTTGTTCTTTTACATCCCTGTGATCGATGATAAGAACAAGTGCCTTGGCTTGGACAAAAAGATGAAGATAACAGCTAGCGTTTTGCGTTCATTTACAGATATATTTTATATTGTTCACATAATTTTCCAGTTTCGTACTGGATTTGTTGCTCCTTCTTCTCGAGTTTTTGGAAGAGGTGTTTTAGTTGAAGATGCTTGGTCTATTGCAAGGAGGTATCTATCGTCATACTTCCTAATTGACATTCTTGCAGTCCTCCCACTCCCACAGGTAAGGCTAACCTTCCTATGTCAAAAATCAATTAGTCACATACTTGAATTGATCAGGGCTTCATATCATGAGTTGCATTCATTTGGTGTTCGGTTACTCATCTAATATAACTGGTTGAGGAGGTTCTTTATGCCCCGTACGCTCTCTGCACAGGATTTTTATGTCCACATATGTGCTCTGCACAGGATGGATACTCATGTTTGCCTAATTGGGTGTACTTTTTGGTGTTGCATTTATTCCTAAATTGTATCTGGTATCTGATACTTTGAATTCTGTGTGTAGTGTGCTTAATTGTAGTGAATGTCTTGTTTCGATTTGAATGTTATGCATATTTTGATTTTACCTTGGACCACTAATAATTATCTATGAAATATTCCCAGGTGGTTATAATTTTCATTCCAAAATTGGGAGGCTCTGAATACTTGAATACAAAGAATTTGTTGAAGTTTATTGTTCTATTCCAGTACGTGCCAAGGGTTATACGAATATATCCACTATATAGAGAAGTCACAAGGGCTTCCGGCATACTGACCGAAACTGCTTGGGCAGGAGCTGCATTTAATCTTTTCCTTTACATGCTTGCCAGTCATGTAAGTTTGATCATGATGTGCGTAACTGCAATATAATTGCCCTTCTTTGAATATTCTAATTTTCAAGTAATATGTTGTGCATAGGTACTTGGGGCCTTTTGGTATTTGGTTTCCATTGAACGTGAAACCACATGCTGGAAAGCAGCCTGTGGGAACAATACTACCATATGCTCCCGTGAGGATTTATACTGTGATACCGCGAAGGATTTTAATAAGACCACATTCCTTTTAAATTCTTCATGCCCAATACAAGAAGAAGATAAATCGCAATTTGATTTTGGAATATTCCTTGATGCCCTTCAATCTGGTATTGTTGAGTCAAGCACACATTTTCCCCAGAAATTCTTTTACTGTTTTTGGTGGGGCCTACGAAATCTAAGGTGTGTTTATACAACTTGTTGTAGTGTGCACTCTTAGGGTTATCTGATGCTGAGCTCAAAACCAGTAGAGTTAACTTTCAAAACCAGTTTTGGTATTTGGTTATTTATCCTTGGTATTTTCATTCTGTAGTTCACTTGGTCAAAACCTTGGAACCAGTACATATGTTTGGGAAATCTGCTTTGCAGTCTTCATTTCTATCGCTGGCTTGGTGCTATTTTCATTTCTTATCGGAAATATGCAGGTTGGTACTTAGTGTATTTGGATAATAGCTGTTCTGAATTGGTGTAATATTTTAAATTAATGTTGTGCATGTAGTTTTAGGAATTGACACTTCCTCATTTCTATTTATGTTTTGAGGTTCTGACCAAATTTAATTTCTTTGAAACAGACATATTTGCAGTCTACAACCACGAGATTGGAAGAAATGAGAGTAAAAAGGAGAGATGCAGAACAGTGGATGTCCCACCGCTTGCTCCCTGAGAATTTGAGAGAGCGCATCAGGCGGTATGAACAGTATAAATGGCAAGAAACCAGAGGTGTTGATGAAGAGAATTTGATATGTAATCTTCCCAAGGATCTTAGAAGGGACATAAAGCGCCATCTCTGCTTGGCTCTGCTTATGAGAGTGAGTTTGCCCACCATTATTGTCTTCTTAATTCGTATGCCTTTGTATGTGAGTGGAGTAATGGTGGTATTGTATTGTTGGTGATCATGAACAATCTTGTTAGTGCGTTCACTTCAGGTCTTATTCATTTTTCAAATCCTTACATCAAACCACTAGATATTGATTCTTACTATGTCCTTGAATGCATTTAAGGTACCAATGTTTGAGAAAATGGATGAACAACTGCTGGATGCAATGTGTGATCGTCTCAAGCCAGTACTCTATACAGAGGAAAGCTACATTGTTCGGGAGGGAGACCCAGTTGATGAGATGCTCTTCATAATGCGAGGCAGGCTTTTGACTATGACCACAAATGGTGGAAGAACTGGTTTCTTTAACTCTGAATATCTTAAGGCCGGTGACTTCTGTGGTGAAGAACTTCTCACATGGGCTCTTGATCCCCACTCATCATCTAATCTTCCCATCTCGACCAGAACTGTCCAAGCCCTTAGTGAAGTTGAAGCCTTTGCTTTAAAAGCAGATGACTTGAAGTTTGTAGCCTCTCAATTCAGGCGGCTTCACAGCAAGCAGCTCCGCCACACATTCAGGTTGTACTCACAGCAGTGGAGGACTTGGGCAGCTTGTTTTATACAAGCAGCGTGGAGACGTCATTGTAAAAAGAAGCTAGAAACGTCTCTGCTGGAAGAGGAGAATAGGTTGCAAGATGCACTGGCCAAGGCTGGGGCTAGCTCCCCAAGTCTTGGTGCCACCATTTATGCCTCACGTTTTGCTGCTAATATACTCCGTACTATACGGCGTAGTGGTACGCGGAAGGCAAGGGTGCCAGAGAGATTACCGGCCATGCTACTTCAGAAGCCAGCGGAGCCTGATTTTACTGCTGAAGAACAATAATAGGGGTATATAGAGGTTTTGATAGAGTGCAAGCTTTGGTTTGTTGCGTAAAATGTAACATGAAATCATTTAACTGGAAAAAAAAAGGAAGAAAAATGTAATTGCATAATTGTAGAGTGTCACATTTTGTTGTGTTGGATCCGTACCAGTTGTGTAAATTATCCGTTTCGTATATGGCAATGCCTGATTGTTTCCTGGTTTTAACGAGAACTTGAATTTTTGTTATTTTTGGATAAATCTGGCCGTTGATTTAAAAAAAATGTTCAAATCGATGCCGTTAGATGATGCCCTCTGTGATGTGATGTCAGCGCCCACTAGTGGCATCTGCTTTGTGTTGGGCGAGTATAGCTTAGCTGCGAGTCATGCGCGAGTGAGCTAAAGCCCTCCAATTTTTCCGCGCCAGCACACGTCTACCTTTTGTCTCCCCTGGGCCCGCATGCTTCATATATCTATATTATTATTTGCATCAAAACATCATCTCCGGGAGTTTCACTAACGTTACAGTTTTCAACCCAGAGTGAGAGTGAACCAGCAAACTGGTTGACTTTTACAGTCTCTTCTTCTTGACTGGAGGATTGAAAAATTATAAATGTAAGGACTTGGAAGATACCCCGTGGACTTGTTCGATAGAGCTCCACTTTTTAGAGTGGCGCTTTGATTTTTATGAAATCTTTCGGCAATTTCAGCTTTTTGCTTCTTTCTAATGGAAGTTGAAATTCCACGGTAAGTGAAATTTTGTAATTTTTTTTAAAATTTTTATGTAATTCATGGTATGAAGCATTGATCATATTGTCTATGAACTCCATAAGCTTGCTTGAGCTAGAACAGTTAGCAGTAGAGTTGTAAGCTCATTCTTGTTTGTTAAATTACATGTTCCATTCAGGGTACAGGGTTGCGATTTAGAAGAAAATGCTGAAGAAAAAGTTCCCACATCTAATGCTAATGGCATATATTGTTCAGGGAAAAGTTTTCCAGCAGTGGACTTGGTTGCAGATAAGTTGCATAAACTTTTAGGACATGGTTTTGAATGGATTATGATTATCAGAGAAGCATTGAAATCTTGTTATGGAGTTTTGGCTTTTGGGATGGGTTTCAAGAATAAATTTGTTAATCCCCAGGAACTAGTCCTGCTGCAACGGTGGAATAAGATACTTCAAGTTCTGTGTGTTGTCTCACTTTCACTGGATCCTTTGTTCTGTTATCTCCTTATCGTCAATGATGAGAACAAGTGCCTTAGATTGGATACAAGATTGGGGAACATAGCTATTCTTTTGCGATCCGTCATTGATTTCTTTCATCTATTTCGCATCATCTTTCAGTTCCGTGCTAGTATTACTATTATCACTCCTTCTCAAGCATCTGGAACTGGAAGAAACGAATCAGTTCCAGAGCCTCCAGCATTAGTAGGGATATATCTGTTGTTGTGGTTCCTACTGGACATACTAGTAATTCTTCCACTTCCACAGGTAAGGAAAGCCACCCTGCTTAAAAAAGTTTTGTATTGTCCGGTTATAAGCTTGAGTGTTTGTTCAACTTATAAGATTTTTAATTTTCATGTTGAACTACTTAAACTTTACATGACAGTATGAGCCTACGAGGAGGAGCTCGTTTTATAGAATTTTATTGCACATGGGATTGGTTAAAGATTCACTATGTTGGATCTGTCCAGGTGGTAGTTATTTTCATCATTCCAAGATTAAATGATTCAAGGGTTTTCAACGCAACAAAGTCATTGAACTTTATAGTTATCCTTCAATATGTGCTAAGGGTTCTTCGAATCAGCTCATGGTTGAAGAAAGCTACAAGGACTTCTGGCATCCTTGCTGAAACTGCAGGGGCTAAAGCTGCATTTAATCTCTTTCTTTATATGCTTGCCAGTCATGTAAGTTTACCATTTCTAGTTGTCTATTTATGATATCTAAGGCTAAAGAGTGATGTGGAGGCTGCAGGCAAAACATAAGAAACTTATTAAGAAACTAAATATGATTCTCTTGGAATAAATTCTGAGAGTCTGAGGGTTCTTCTGGCCCTGCAGGTTGTTGGAGCCTTTTGGTACTTGTTCTCTATAGAAAGAAAAACAGCATGTTGGCGACAAGTCTGTAAAAATCATGCTGGTAGTGAATACTGTTCTTTATATTGTGGTGATGACACATTTGGAGCCACCACACTTCTGAATGACTCTTGCTCTGCAAAGACACCAAATTCCACACTATTTGATTTTGGAATATACTCAGATGCCCTGAAATCTGGCGTCATCAATTCAGCAGATTTTGTACAAAAGATATCTTACTGCTTTTGGTGGGGACTGCAAAATCTGAGGTTTGTCCACATCAAATCCATCCTGTCAAATTAAACCAAATCATATAAATAATTGTTGAACAGAATAGTTTTAAGTATTGTAGATTTTTCTTCTTGCGCATTTGTTTACTAACTTGTGATATATTTCTATTCATATTCTGCAGCTCCCTGGGTCAAAGCCTCAAAACAAGTACCTATGTGTGGGAAATCTACTTTTCAGTTGTGATTTCAATTTCTGGCTTGGTATTATTTGCATTTCTTATTGGAAATATGCAGGTTGGTGTTGTGAATACGTTTATTTCAGAGCTCTCAGTTCCTCTGCTGCTAAATCTTATATCCATTCATCTGAATGCATTGTTGTTGGATAATACTTGGAAACTAGACTTCTTTGACAAGAATGTTTAAGTCCCTTGAGACATCACATGATGAACTGTGTTCTGTTGTGGAACAGACATATTTGCAGTCAAAAACTGCAAGATTGGAGGAAATGAGATTGAAGGGGCAAGAGATAGAATTGTGGATGGCTTTCCATTCCCTTCCTCGGAAGCTTAAGAAGCGGATACGGCAATATGAGAAATACAAATGGCAAGAAACCAGAGGCGTCGATGTGGAGAATTTTCTGCACAATCTTCCCAGGGACCTCAGGAGGGATACAAAGCGGCATCTTTGCTCAGGTCCACTCAGCAAAGTGAGACTTGTTGAATTTGTCCCTCCCTATAATTCTTGTTGAAGTTTTTCAAGAAGTCTTGTACATGATGATGATGAGATGATATTTTGGTAGGCCTAGGCTTTTCTGAACTTATTTGATTTGATGTAGGTGCCAGTGCTTCAAAATATGAACAAACGACTGCTGGATGCAATCTGTGAGCTTCTGAAGCCAGTGCTTTACATAGAGCATAGCTTCATATTTCGAAAGGAAGATCCACTTGATGAGATGCTGTTTATCACGCGTGGGAAGGTCTTGGCTTACTCCAGCAGTACTTGCGGTGAAGGCGCTAATTATCTCGAAAAGGGTGATTTCTATGGAGAAGAACTTCTGGATTGGGTGCTCAAGACTTGTCCGGCTCCCGCGTTATCCAACCTCCCCATCTCAACCAAAACAGTCCGGGCTGAGACGAAAGTGGAATTGTTTGCTCTCAAAGCCAATGATTTGAAACATGTGGTCTCTAAATTCTGGTGGCTTTTCAGCAAGGAGCTAAGGAACTCTAACAGCTTTGGTTTGCAGCAATGGCAACCAAGGGCAGCTTGTGTTTTGCAAACAGCATGGCGCCACCATAAAAGAGAAAAGCTTCAAAAGTCTCCCAGGTTGGCTCAAGAGGGCAGTCATTCTGCCGCTGATCACCCTGCTGTCTCAGAAACACAGCATAAGTAGGTATGGCTAATAAACTGATAAAGCATTGATGTATTTGCTATATGCTTGTTAATTTACTTCATGTAAGTTTCTTTACATCGAGATATTTTCTCCAACTGGCACCCTTCGATTGCTATAATATGGCTACCAACAAACTGCATTGCATATAGTCATTGCAAACAATCAGAAGCCAATATATAATAAACTGACAATAACAAATAAAAATCATGAGAATTTGATATAATAACCTACATAGCTAACTTAAGCAAAATGTTTGATCATATCAACTCCATTCCGTAGCTTTAAGGATTTAATAAGTCCCTTATTTTGTCATTAAAAAAATATATATTAAAAATGGGGAAAAAAAACTGAGTATTGGCGCTGAAATTCTATTATTTATTTCACGTAATTTATTCTCTTTTAGCTTTGATTTAATTAATTTCTTCTGGCTACTTAGCTTTGATTTTATTCATATGATGATTGTCGTTCAATCTCGACTGTATTATTTGATAAGCAAAATTCTAAGAAATCCATAAATATTGTAATGGAAATACAAAATTCTGTAGAAAAAAAATATTAAAAAAAATAAAAATAAAAAAACTAAAAAAAACCAAATATCATACATACATAGCGATATATAAGAGATGAGGCTTGCAGTATAACTATAAATCATCGAGTGCTTAGCACTGTATGGCGCTTCCCAATAAATAAAACTGGAGACGCTTGGGAATAAAGTTTCTAGTGTTACTTGTTTGATGGAACCGCATATTAGATCCATAAAGCAGTAAACATGATTCTTGTTTTTCCTAAAAAATATGCCATGCTCCCATTCTCCACAAGGCCGAACAAAAGTTCTGAACATGGGGGTTGCTATTTTGTAATCTAAAATCCACTCTTGTTTACTATGATTTTTCAACACCCATATATTGATGCTCCGTGATGATGAAAATGAAAGATCCACAATTGCCAAACACCCCCTTATATTAAGCAAATGCATGTCATAAAAAGTGAAAAAACCATCCAAGTTGGGATGAGGTGTCCAATTAAATTTCTGCTTCATGAAATCAAAAGAAATTATATGATTTCCATGCAAGCTTTCTTCTTTATTTTCGCGAACCAACCAATGCATGTCTCCATCATGTGCTTAGACCACAACAAGGAATTCAGTCTTTCTCACTCTATGACGAGCTTGTGCCCAATACATAAATGTGTGCCACCTCAAAATTGAGTTCATGATTTCTGGCAACATAAACAATCTTAAGGGTGTTGCTTATATTATCAAATCTCATAACATACCAAACATCGAATGCCATGTTACTCGTTGGGGGAGTGGCATGAGTGGAAACTTTAGAACTTCCATCCTAAAAGGGTTAACTATGAAGCATGGATCTTTGCATCCAAATCTACTTTTGAAGAAAAAAAAGTTGCTAAAAACACAATCTAGCTCGAAACGATTTCCATGACTTAGAATCTTTGAGACAAGAAAACTATATTTGATTTCTCTTAAGACGCAGTCTCCACTGTATTTCAATGACCAAAAGACCATAGTGAATTTGTCATGTCGAGTACGAGAGCTAGTAATAAGCATAAGCTGAGGTGTGCTTGAACAACACTGGAGTGGTTGATGCAACGTGATGTGTGAAGTGTAGCAAAGAATGAGCAGTCAACTAGGTTGAAAAATGACTTCGAAACACACTGGATGCGACAAATTGATTGTGTGGGGAGTCTCGTGAGAATGTTGAGAATGATGTCGTTGGGTAGGTCCGCCAAGAGTAACTTTCTTGTCGTTAGCTTCTTCAATCCTACTCACTCAATAACAAAATATTCAATTACAAATTTAATTTGAATAATAAATCTGTAAATTATAGTAGGAATTCGCAATTTAATTCGAACAAATTCTAGTAATAACAAAAAATTCTAATCTCAGTATAATCCAAACCCAAATGATTCCCATACAATGATCCAAGAACGATATACTCATATTCTTGCTCACAAATTCAAAAAAGAGATAAGAACACCAAATTTTTGAAACCAGTGTTTGGCACTGGAGAGTTTCTGATGCTAAACAAAGCTGATAGTGGATACACTTTCACACATGCACGCACTTTAAGAAGGTTTCAGGCAAAACATAAGAAACTAAATATGATGAGGAGTATTTACAGAGGGAATTTATAAACTTGGTTCCCTTTAATCCATATTAATTTGTGTTGTTTCCACAGTGTTAGTACTTAGTAGTGACCCTCGAGGGTTCTTCTGGCCCTGCAGGTTGTTGGAGCCTTTTGGTACTTGTTCTCTATAGAAAAAAAAGCAGCATGTTGGCGACAAGTCTGTAACAGCTTTGGTTTGCAGCAATGAACAACCATTGCAATGTCCATTATCAGTATTCGTCCAAGTAACTCTAACAGCTTCCAATGTTAGATGTAGCGGAGGAAGCAGAAAATACAGCAATGGTTGTTCAAGCATGGAGCTGAGTAACTGCTTTGGTTTGCAGCAATGGGAACGAAGGGCAACTTGTGTTTTGCAAACAGCATGGCGGGAGGACACTGCTGACCAAACATGTTAATCTACAGCTTCAACATTGTTATCAAGGCATTTTGTTTCAGACTCCCTGCTCATTTAACCAGCAAATGTTCCAAAAATGGGCCTAGGCAACGCCTAGGCGGGCGCCCAGAGGGTTTTTATGGTGGCCCTTTTATTTCTCATGTTTTGATAATTTTAGATTCACATGTTAAGCTACAGCTTCAACATTGTTATCAAGCCATTTTGTTTCAGACTCCCTGCTCATTTAACTAGCCAGTGTTCCAAAAATCGGCCTAGGAGCTAGGTAGTGGGCGTCCGCCTAGGTGACTTGGGTGGGTCTGGGCGGGTTTGACTAAAAAAAAAAGAGATGATGATGCTATGAGCGAGAAAGAGAGAGAGAGAGAGAGAGAGATGATGATTGAAGAAGATAGGTCACCGCTTATGTCTGAGCAAGAGAGAGGAGACAGCTCGTGTTAGACTTAGAGTTTCAAAAGGAAACTTGTATTTATATGTAAAAGGAGAGGTGGGCTTTCAATTGGGCCTGGGCTTAAGACACCAATAAAACCAAATGCCCTATTTATATACATTATTTTGATTGGAATTGGCCTCAGAAAATACAACATTAAATGGATTTTGCATTATGAAATCACTAAAACAACCACTAATAAGTAACAAATATATATATATATATAAAAGAAACTCCTAGGCCCCCACTTAAGCCCGATTACTCCTCTAGGGCCTAGACTCTACCTACCGCCTGGCGATATTTCGAACATTGAATTCAAAGCTAAGTAGCCAGAAGAAATTAAGTAAATCAAAGCTAAGTAGCCATGAAGGGACTGTGTTTTGTTGCAGACATCCTAAGCCACCAAATGAGGGGGCCTAATGGACTTTCTCTAACCCAAGGAAATAGGCTTCGAATTGAACATACCTACCCATTATGTTAACGGACAGGGCCACGACAATGAAACAGTCAATCCCATTACATGTTTTATTTTTCTACCGTTTCAGCCGTCTTCAGGGTAGTGCACGTGTCTCCCCCTGTAATGGGGGAGCCGATGTCAGGTTATGACGGCTACCTCTCATGTAATTAATTGATTAATTAATTAATTATCCGGCATAAACAAAATTACAAACCCCCAAATTATTAATGATTACCAACCATCAAATGAATGCTGAGTATGGATGAGGATATATAGTAATGCGTATCGTAATTAATCATATTTTTATGTCAATTTATGTCCTCAACCTCGTTAATCCTTCAATAGCCACCTCATCTCATCAACTTTTCTCCATGTTGGTCATGTGTTGCTCCATGCCTTTGACATGCATATGGATGCATTATTAAAAAAATTAAATATATTCGTTGTAAGAGAAATTTGAACTTAAAATCTCTTTCAATATCTGAATTGACGAGATGGTATCATGGAGTTGTATGTGTCATGTCCATGATGCTTAAGCAACCATCATCATCACTCTTCTCTTCCTATCATGGATGCATATGCATATGTGGGTGTTTAATTAAAGAAAAAAAAATACAATTATAGATGCATTAAGATCATAATTAAGGAATGGTGCGGCCCCCTTTTGTGATTGGTAATCGTTCACCAATTAAGTGTCACAGGGGAATTGTAACCCCCTACACAGAGCGTGTGCACGAACTTCAAATCCCATTATCTCCTTCCCCAGATTAATTCAAGGATTAGCCTCACTCTCTTTTATGCTGCTTTCTTCATTATGTTTTCATTCTCTAATTCCCAAAGTTTCCAACTTTCACTCTTACTTTGACGTTTCTCTCATGCCCATTTTCTCCCAAATGGATTCTATCCAACTTCAGGTTCCAAAGATTGAGATTAACCCACACGGCTTCGACTCCCTACAGTACTATCAAGACCCACTCCATGAGAAGTAAGATAAAAAAATCCCTCTTTTGCTGCACCATTGCCTTTTTTTTCTTCTGATAAATGCTTTTTACTTTTTGGTTTCTTTGATCACATTTGCTTATCAACTCTGCTTCTCCAAACCCCAAAATTTGTTCAAGAATTGAAGAATGCTATGCTCCTCTATACATCTTTTATTTTGTTATTACACAAGTTTTATTATATGGGTTACTTTACTTTTGCAGTGTTTCATTAGAAGAACATCTACAGCTGGACAATTTATTTGAGTTCAATTCAATCCCTTTGGAATGGGACCAGAACCAACATCCCCACATGGGTTTCCAAGGCTTTGAAGATTTAGGCAGCTGGGATTTCATGTTGGACAATACTGATTTCACATCACCTTGTGATTATGTTGTGGTTGATGAAAAGCCTGTGACCACCATGGTGGATTCTTTTGATTACTCTAAAAACCCTACAAGTGATTTGGATGAAGCTTCAAGAATGGCTGACTGGGGAAGTAATGGGATTTATAATAAGAAGAAGTCTGCTGCATTGGAATTGGATGAGATACAAAAGTACTTTGACCTCCCCATCACTCAAGCAGCCAAGAAATTGAACGTGGGATTGACTGTTCTGAAGAGGAGGTGCAGGGAACTAAAGATCATGAGGTGGCCACACAGAAAGATTAAGAGCTTGAAGGCTCTGATTGAAAATGTTAAGGTACGTGTGCATGTTGTTGACAGTGATGAGAGATTACGTTTCCATTGCAACTACCCCCCACTTAATGAATAGAAAATCTGAATTATATATGTTAAATACTCTATGCTCATGATTGAAATTAAAGGCCAAGTAGTGCCTTTTTTGTCTACTGCCGACTGATAATTTCCCCTTAAAATAAGGATCTGTGAATAACAAGTGGGGAGGATATGTAGGAGTAGGTTTGTTTCATTGTCAAGCCCATGACTTTGCTTTGTGACCAAGGATGCATGACTACTTATGGACCAAGTATTATAAGGGGCTACCATGAATGACTATTCTACTGTATTATATATCTATGCAAAGGGCTTGTAGCTTTAGTGATTAAGAGCATTTTAGCTATGCATGCTCAAGGTCTTACTTTTGATTCCCCCTCCCACAATATTGCTCGGTAAAAAAAAGTATGACATGTTATACACGAAGGTGATTGGTTTTCAATCTTTGTTTTTAGGAAGACAGTGTGTAGGATTGACTGTTGAAATGCAGGGTTTGGGATTGACCAATGAGCTAAAGATGCTGGAGGAGCAGAAAAGGCTTCTAGAGCAACTGCCAGATATGGAGCTAACAGAGAGAGCCAAAAAGCTGAGGCAGGCTTCTTTCAAAGCCAATTACAAGATGAAGAGGTCTTTGACCAATGCTCGTCCATGACTTTATCATCACTCAAATATGTCAATGTCAAACAGAAATCTCTTTTCTCTGTTAGCAGACTATTAAGACCACACATGTTTAGTTAATATCCACACAAACATTAAACAGATGAGAAAATCAGGACGCGTATATGGTAGGAACGGTCAGATTGATGTTACTATTTTTGATCAATCATCCATCTCCTTGCCTGATATTGTGATCAAAGCTTGTTGAATGTGTTTTCGTCTCCATTACGGATTTTCTCTTGTTTTTATCAGTTATCCATTTTCTTTATTAACTGTTAAAGACTGATCAACTTGCTTTTGTATGAGTAAAAGTTCAGGAATTTAATAAAATAAAGAAAAATCAGAGTAGATGAGAAATAATATCTAGGAATTTTAGACAATGGGAACAAGTTGGCACGCTGACAACAATTTGAATGGTGGGTTGGGGGGGTGCTTCATTTCATCACATAAGATGATGAAGCTTATAATATATATATATATATATATATATAT